TAGACTAAAACTTACAAGGTTATATGTACAAGTGGATGAGACATGAAACTTAATCCTATTTACAAAGCACGCGATTTAATAAACATGTTATATGATAAGCTGACAGGACGCGGAAAGATTATAACACACCGCGGTATATTTAAATGTCTAGCTTTTAAATGTTACTTAATATTAAAAGGAATTTTTATTATGCCTACATGCTGATACTAACTCATTACGTTTGTTTAAAGTGGCCATTTTGGGCTTACAAATAATAAAGTATTTCTCCCATAAACACAAATTACATCTATTTGAAGCGCAGTTATAAGGCTTAGCTCGTTTCAATAGTTTCCATTTGATTGTATAATGGATGTTTCAATTTTTCAACCCCCACACATATTTGCTAAGTTCAGTAGCGTTCCGTTTGTCAAAAGAGTTAAATGATGCTTTATGGTTCGCAAGTCTTGTTTTGAACGAGTTTTCAGTAAATTCGACATATGTTTGGGGAGGTCTATTGGTAGTTTTGTCCTTAGTAGTGACTGTGGCTTGATATACAACCGATTCGGTGATATATTTATTAGACAGTGGGCACAGTTCTTTATTGTTTTTAGGGCAACTGCACATGTCAGGACTATTCGTGGTGGAAGCTGTAGACAGCGTGGATTTGTTGTGTCCATCGATAGTCTGCAGCTGTAGCTGATCTTGAATATACTTATATATTAAATATATATATTAATAAATAATATAATATATATAATATATATAATATAATATATATTAAAATATATATTAATATAATAAAATTATTATTATTAATAATAATAATTATTAATAATTATTAATTATTATTATTATTAATATAATATATATTAATATTATTATAATATATATTAATATAATATATATAATATAATATATATTATTATATATTTAATATAATATTTAATATATATTATATATTATATATTAAATATACTTATTTACCGGCAGCGTCGGTCCGGATGAGAAAAACTGTGCCCTCGGTCTTGAAAACGTTTTCAACTCCTCAGGCACAGTTTTTCTCATCCGGACCTCGCAGCCGATAAATAACATATATATATTCAGGGCCGTTAATAATCATTCTTTTTCCAAATTCATGCAGACCTTTATCAATTTTAAGCTTTATTAATTTTAAAGCAAGTTTATACATGCCCATAGCATTATAAACTTAAGTTAATGAAACAAGCGTTAGGACAAGAGTAAAGTTGTGCAAAGTCTCCTGGAGTACAAAGGTCTGGTACAAAGGTCAATCTGTGAATCATGTGATCAAAGTGCAAGGCTGAATTAACAACAAACCATTGTCAAATCTCTTCCCATGCATGTGCGGGAAAATAGACCAATCAGGTTTCACCTCTTCGTCTGAATAGTTTCCTGCTTGGATCAGTAAGCCTCATTGTGTCACTTGCAAGCAAAATTGTATGACCTCTGCGGCAAAGTACTTCGAAATTATACTTTTGGAAAAGATATATCGTGGATATAAAACAACGGTCAGTAACACAGTATTATTCAGTGATACGCAGTTTATACAAATATAGCTCTGCTGCGGGCAAGCACTTTTACTCTTCTGGTGGACAAAGGAATACGTTGGCTCAAGTATTGACGTATATGAAACTCAGTGAGACGCAGTTTATCAGTAAAATATAACTCTGCCGCGGGCAACCGTTTTTACTCTTTTGGTGGACAAAGGAATACCTTGGCTGATGTATTGATGTGTGATTCAGAGAGACGATGTTTATTCAAATATAACTGGGCAGGCGCTTTTACTCTTCTGGTGGACAAAGGAATACGTTGGCTCAAGTATCGATGTGTGATTCAGTGAGACGCAGTCTATTCAAGTATAACTCTACCGTGGTCAAGCGCTTTTACCCTCCTGGTGGACAAAGGAATACGTTGGCTCAACCGATGAAGTTAAATGAAACCGCCGCTGGGGGAATTATAACAAGATCGAGAGGCTAGACACAAATTCAACAAGCGTCATTTGATATCATTCGTATATCAATGTATTTATGTATGCACATGCATTTGGTGCGTAAGTATGCGGTGAATTCACACGTTTGCTTCGTATTTCGCTTTTCAAACCAATCAAAATGCTTTAACTTCATTTATTTTATCACAGAATTCGGGTATAGTAATTGTCGAACGCCAAATGTATCGACCATTCAGGCATTCACGGTAAATCGATCTGTATTTCAATGTCAATTTTATTACCATCTTGAGGTTATTAACCGGCCAGTTGGGCCTCTGATTCGGGAATTGGGTTTCAATAAAGTGTCACATTAAACTGTATTCAATCATTCAAAAGTAGATTATATAAAACTTCCTTTCTAGCTATTTCAAGGCACTCTTTAATAAAACAAACACTTAATTATTTGGCCCGTATACATTATCAATACTTTACTGGGCACAACATAGGAAATCAAGTTCATGTGTGAGAGAAATTTTAGTCTGCTCGCATATCCTTCCACCACGGGGGGGATTAGGGACAGTCTGTGCACAGACTAGAGAAATTTAGGATCTACTTTATCTACATTTGTGATAAATCGACAAGTTGGATGTCATGAAAGATTGATATATACGTACAGTGTATGGTATGTCGCTACTCATGAAAATTCATTTTAGTGTCTTATCACTATACTGCATGATCTTTAGTCTACCAAATACATATTCTTACAATTTCTGCTAGTCTCATGCATGCATGATTGCATGTTCAATCACAAAACTGTGGTTTAATATAAACACCTGAATTGCATTTTGAATTTTTGATCCTGCTATTTTAAAATATTGAACAAGCTATTTTTCTGAGATTAAAGAGTCACATACATAATTCGAGAATTATATTGTGTCAAGTTCCACCAATCATAATTCAAATAAAATAAGTGGAGTTAACAAATACATGTTGCAAAATTGTCAACGAGCACATTGACATTAAAAATAAATAAATCGTAAAAAAAAAAAAAAAATGATGGTGAGAAATAAAAAATAACTCAACATACTTAAAATATCAGTAGAATGACAAAATTCACATTGCAAAAAATAACAAAAATATAAAACCCATGCTTTTCCGGCTCTCTAACTATGTGTATGTATATAATATTGCAAATGCATGATCATATCTTACCTTCGTAATAACAGTAGTAAATTTTAGGAAGACCTTTAACCTTATTTGTAAAGACATGACTTTGGATAAAGTCATCATAATTGTTATCGTTTTCTGTATCATAAATGATGTATTCTAGAGTGCTTTTTGCTTCCTTCACTCTTTGGCAGTTTTGAGAATTGTGTGGTAATAGATAAAATGGTTTATCCAAAGGCAGCTCAATGGAATCTCTCCAAAGTCCTTGATCCTGGCAACAATATTCAATAATGGTGTCTTCATCAAAAGTACCACTAGGTAAGGTACCACCTTTACTGTTTTTATTTGTGTCATCTTCGTCATCCCACTCTATAGAGCCACTTTTCATACCAGAGGGACATTGGTTCTTTTTATAGATACAATACGACCCTAAAAACAGATACAATATTACAGTAAAATGTCTAAAAGAATATACTTGATCATGTCATGATGTGCAGCCCTCCACTACGCACATGCAGTATATATGGTCATTGTAATAAGATAGGTAGCTATTACAAGCTTAGATAGCCCAAACAAAGCTCTAATTGTTTTCAATCTTACCATCGTGGGCTCGGTACATTTGAACAGAAGGGTTTTGTAGATGGAAATTCCGAGTGTGGATTTTATACACCTGCCAGAGGGCTTGCCAACTACTCCTGCATGGTTAGGTCTAATAAATGTATAAAATTCACATTCGAAATTTCCACCTACAATTAGTTATACCGAAAACATGATATCTACCCACACACCTTACATTGGCATGACTATTAAATATACATGAACGTGCGGTTAGAGCTCGACAACTGGCCTCTAGCTGTAGCTCAATTGGTTAGTGCTATGCCCGGAATCATTGCCGCAGGTTCTATTCCTGCCAGAGGACCTATATAGTTGCATTTTTTGCAACTGCTCCTGGTTAGCTCGAGTACATGTAAAAAATCCACACTCGAAAATCCTTCTACAATTAGTTATATCGAGTGTAGATTTGCAGAATCCTGATATTTTACCCTTTGAACAGAGCTCCCATTTCTTCACAAGAAAATGATAGGAAAAGAAGAGTAAGTAATAAAATGTATAGTTTGCTATGCTGTACATTCATATGCATAAGGGTGCCAAATTTGTGCGTCCAGAATTTCTCATTTCACGTTTTATTATTTATTAATTTATTAGGCTTTGCTATATCTATTTAAACTTATTTATTAATTAACAATTATACCGGGTGTCCCAAAAAAAAGTACTCCGGTTTGATTCGTAATAACTTCGAAACCAGTAAAGCTTTTAAAGAGAAATAACTTGCATCAAATAGAGGAAGCCCTAACTTAGATTTTGATATATTACACTTGTTTTTCACTTAAAAATTCGCGGAGATATTAATGTTTAAAATCGGGAGCATATTTCTGGATGTGTCTGAAATATGCAAAAAACGGGGTATCAAATATTAATCAAGATTTGCCCGACTGAAACATGCACTATTACCAGTAAATAAATGACACTTGACAAATTGTTTATTATGAAACAAAGTATTGTTATCTACAAAATACAAGGAAGATTTATTCGTCCGAAAACCGCGTGTGTTCCTATAGCACGAGTACGTTTCCTTATTTCATAAGACCACTGACTGCATCGCGAAGGATCGTCATGGATCGTCCGTGTTCTCAATTAGGGGATGCTGTCACAATGGAATTGTGAAGCTCTTCTAACTTTTGCAACGTTCTGAAAACACTCAACCTTTTTTGCTTTTTCTTAATCTTGACAAGTTCAGAATAAATTAAGAATGAAACACAATCAAACCATACAACTCCATAATACATAACAAGCAACTCCCCAGAGACATCCAACATTTTTTGAACAAAACGTAACAAAATAGTAGCGTTGATACTGTGATGTGTATTTGCAAAATGCAGTATTATTTCCTTCATTAAAAAATAATATTCATCCTGCTCTAATCGAGAAATATTCAACTCTGATTTCAACCCATGAAAAGCATAAAAAATATAGGCTATTTAAGAAAAATTTAAGCGCCTGCCTTGAATGGTTTTTCATGTACCTTTAAGTTTGTATTAAAGACCTGTTAAATACTTTACGTTTATATTTCGTAATATAATACGAACGTTTATATTTCAGGAAACAATGAGCTTAGATGTAAGATGTCTAAATCTATGCCATATCCTTATACAATCCCTGACGACAATTCGCTGAAATACAATTAAGTTAGCCTGATATGTCATTAAACAAACAAACGCTGGAGTTAATATTTGATATGCCGATTTTCGCTAATTTTAGACACATCCCAAAATATGCTCCCGATTTTGAACATTAATATCTCCGTGAATTTTTAAGGCAAATACAACTGTAATATATCAAAATCTAAGTTAGTCTTTCCTCTATTTAATGCAAGTTATTTCTGTTTCATAGCTTTACTTGTTTAGAAGTTATTATAAATCAAACCGGAGTACTTTTTTTTGGGACACCCGGTACATATATAACACAAACAATATGATCCATGGCGGGGTATACGCTACAGCTTTCGCCAATTACAGCGGCCCGCGGTTACATAATACAATACAAACAAACATTAAAACTAAGAATTACACAAATTTGAACAAAACAAATTGCGAGACTTATTACAAGACAAACATATAGATTTTCAGGATCCTCGGCATAATAGATGTTCCTCAAAGCCAGTTTATATAGTACCGCTCTTGAATCCATAAATTGTGGTGTTTTTGTCCGTCAAGTCCTTTGGTAATATATTCCACACTCTTGTTGATCTATTTAAATATGATTTCTGGAATATCGCAGTCTTGCATTTTGCTGTTGTATATGTCAAACAGTTGGGGTCAGCTCATCTGGTTACTCTCTCCCTGGTCTGAGTTGGTGGTAGTAGACCGTTATTTATGTCTGTCATTCCACGAGTACATTTAAAATAGAACAACATACATGTATCTAGAAATCCATGCCATGCAATAACACAGAGGAATGTCGCAGTTGTGAAAATGTTGTCCAATAGCACTTTTGGTCGGATTGGTATGCTCAGAGAGCCGCGTCTGTAAACATCATTCTGTTTTCCCATTGTACGTTGCGGAACAGCCAGGACATGTCACTTCGTAAACTACATTAGATTTCGAACGATTCGGACAACATATTCACAACTGCGAACATGTGCAATACATTGTAAACCTACGCTTTGCTATTGACAAACTTAACAACCCAACTGACGCTGACAATAACGTTTCCACATTTATTTCCAGCTTAATAATTGACAACTCTCGAATTCTTCACACTATTAATTCTCACACACCTAATTTTCTCTTGTTGCTTGAAGCTCTATATATCAAGTACCATTTACCCAGTTTAAGCACTGGACACAAAGCCAGCAAAGAAAGCTCTTTTCTTAATCTATACACCCACATTTCATCACACTTATTTTTCACTGCACCTGTCGTGGTTCTGATTGAGACTTCCGTTTGATCACTTTGATCATCGTGCCTTGCTAACTTGTATATAAGACCATGTATATATTGTAACTATAGTTAGTCTGATGATGATTTTGTAATAAAATCGAAATATACTGATGTATATGTATATATTGTGTTAATGTTGGACAAAGCGGGACATCAGGACTAGGAGCGATGGGGGTAGTTAAAAAGAGCGGGAAAGGACGGAGAAAAAAGAAACATTACATTGTATACTAGGGGTTGATATTATTAAAAGAAACGAACACACCAGTTTATATTTTATACTTACTCACTTTCTTGTTTAATTTGACTCATATTTTGGGTTTCAAGATGCTAATCTTCGGATTATGTTTTGTACTATATTTTTTGAAATTGTCGGCTGGTATTGGTTTTTAAGTTTGAATATAGCAGTCTTAATCTCCCAGTGCCTTTTTTAAGGAATTTTCACTGGGGGGCAAAACAGGGAAAAAAGGCAGAACGAAAAATATGAGCCGTCGAGGTTTGGCGAACGCGCGAGTCTGAAAAGAGATTTTGTAAAACTTTAATTTATTAACTTCATCTATATTTTACTTTAAACAATAACTTCAACTCTTTGTAGCTATAATCGTACAGCTACATATATAATAATTAAAGAGGAAGTCAAGTCCGTAATGTAAACAAACGGTTTGTTTACATTTTGAACTGCTGCATTTTTTAAAATATGATGTACTGTCTGAATATCTAACACCATTTTGGTTCGCTATGCTTCTAAATGAATATGAAATAAAGTTTATGTTCAGAAAAATTCGAAACATTCGAAATTTGGGCAATTTTCACATTAGAGGTCCTCTCATTGTTATGCGCAGAACAGATGCGCAGAACGGACTTGACTTCCCCTTTAACAATTATTCGCCGAAGGCGAGGTGATTATCGGTGAATATTCGCCGAGGCGAAGTCGAGGTGGATATTCCCCAATAATCACCGAGCCTGAGGCGAACAATTGTTTTATATGTGATAAAAAATCATGTTAATTTACATAAACTTTAGCTTTGATTTTCTCGGTTTAGACAAAGTTTATTTTAAACATTACTTCGCCAATGAACTCGTATAAGATGAGTCGTTTTTTAAGCCATTTAAAGCACTTGTAGTCGTGTTTTATCACATATAAAACACTCCGCTACGCGTCGTGTTTTATATGTGATAAAACACTCCTACGCGTGCTTTAAATAGTACTTAATACGTCACATTTGACCAATCAACTTGTAGGATTTGTTATGTTCACTTGTGCAAAAGTACTAATTAGTTTTAACAAATTTGCTAACGGTCGTTGTTTCGGAGTTCGTCCAGGCTTGATGCCTTTGGAAAGCTTTTTGCTATATAGTTGCTTCGGTACTTGCGTAAAGCTCTTGCCAGGTGGAAACGTTTGTGGTTCAACAGCTTTTTTGATGAAATATTCCACAAAATACTATGTATATATGTACGTAAAATTTCAGGGAACCGGAAAATTTCTGGCTACCCGCCATGAATGGCGTAAGCAAAAATTCAGCATTCCAGCATTTCAATTTCAGCATTCCAGGACAATATCGTGTTGTATACTTTATTTCCAGTACCCTGGAAAGCTATTTGCCGCATTTTTAGGCCGGAACATGCGTCTAGATCTTCGGATATTAGTAAAATCAATAACTGGAACTATTAATGTTTGAATGTACACCTTAATGTTTGGGCTTAGGCGTAGGACCACTGCATGTAGGTGCGGTCCATTACTTGCAATCCTTGTTTGAATTCAAGGATATAGCAAAATATAATGCATGAAAATAGAATAGATGGTTGAAAGTGATGATAAATTAGGAACGTCACGTGATATATATTGCAACACTATATGCAAAGTTTAACATCATTGCTCTGTAAAATTGTAACCGTAATCTATATTAAGCTCTCTTTTCAAACACGCCCCCTCTCTAAGTACTATTTAAAACACGAGAAGGTGTGTTTTATCATATTTAAAATACGACTACAAAAGAATACTAATTAGGATGAACAATTATATAATCATACTAATTAGGATGAAGAATTATATAAAGAATACTAATGAAGATGAGTTTTATCAGATATAAAGTCACTCCACGTGACATATTATGGCTGACATGATTTGTCACAAGGTTTATGAATTTTTAATGAGTATTTTAATAATATTAAACTAGAAGTTACTATCGCAAGGGAAGTGCTGCCTTACGACCCAAAGTCTAGGGATTGATTATACCAAAAAACTTCATTTATTTAAATTGCCTTATGTATACACTGTATGTATGAATTTATTTTGTTTAATAATGCAATAATTACTATATACGGAAAACTGTACTTCGGATTTTCATAATTACACATGTGATTGTTGGTACCAATGTTTTAAACCGTCTTCACTTGTCAAAACGTCCAGAAGAACACAATTGGGAAGAACAAACATATGTCCTTTAACGTGATATGATTAGTTTCTTGCAAGTTCTCACATTCTTTCCAAGTAATACTGTATTTTCGATTTGGTAAACAAGACAGTGCCATTCAATGTTTTTTGTCCAATATGTAGATGTTTCGTATTTGTAGTGTACAGGTAGTGTCCATTGTTGGCCAACATATGTACTGTATGTAATATCTTGACATACAATGTTCCTGACATCCATATGGTAGATTGGAAACAAGTAAATTAATTTAATAATAGATGGCAGATTCCATATCCTATTAAATTGGATGTGACATTGGACAATCTTGTAAATCAGCATTCTTGTTTTAATAGAAGTACACTTCTGTTAATCCAGAAGCTCCCATCCATTTTCATTATTTTGGCTGTAACAACCATTTGGTTTCATCCAGCAGTTAACATGGCACCATTCACATCCGTCAGAATTGCAAAACTATAGAAAAAAATAATTGGTAGCATAAGATATTTATGTGGAAACATGGTAGCACATAGGCAGGGGGAGGGGTTAATTAAACAAACAAAAAACTTACCCTTCTTTTGTCTTGCAAAGCATAATATTTTCATACATACAGTGATAACAAGGAGTAAAATAGTTAGTATATAATAAATTAAATTATTTAAAAGGGTATATAGTCAAAGTACATACCAAACTGTAACTGGGATCCATATATGAAATCCCTCTCTTATTCAAACTCAATAGTTTGTTGTTCTGAATGCACTGCTAGTAGCCTGTGCTAACTGATCTAGCCTGTTTTCTTCTTCAAGCCTATATTGTAAGTTGGCTGATGATTTCAAGCTTGTTAATCGTTCATACGTCATTGGTTCAATGACACAAGATGCAAGTGATTTTACTCTGCTAATAGCAACATAAGAAACTCCAGCAGTTCTTTCAGATTTGCCAATATCTATCCATGCTTTTGGAAGTGTAAGTCCTTGGCTCTTGTGTATTGTTAGAGCCCAAGCAAGCCTAAGAGGTAACTGTTGCCTCTCATGGAAACCTATTTCTGTCTGTGATGTGACAGTGATTGGATATATTGGGATACACAATGGTCGGCTTTCATTAAAAACAGGCCCTCTATAGTTTTCAAATTCTACTATTACTGCAATAGGTAAGTCAGGTGGTTGATGGTTGTACTGATAGATAATATCAACAACTGTTCCAGTAGCCCCATTGCAGAGGCCAACACTTGACCACAAATTCATAGTTAACATAACCCTAGCACCTTTTGCTAGAAACACAACAGGTTCTAACCCAGACATATCATCTGAGGATATCCTTTTGGCCAATGCTGATGAATGGCGAGCATTAATATGAGCAATTGGATGCTCAAGTTTTGTTAGCTGCTCATGGTTGTAATTACCAACTTGTTCATTACTATAAAAGAGTCTAGTAGAATCTTCAAAATCACATAAATTAGTGACATTCGATGGTTGACGTGTCAGAAGTAACTTCCAGTCATCAACTGTTGAGTCACCTTTGCGAAGTCGTAATAACAAATCTCTGAACTGTACTTGCTCAGATGTCATACCTTGCACACGTTGATTTACAGTGAGTTTAACAACTTTGTCAAACATATGATATGCTTGATGACCTTGTTCACCAACAGCATTTGATGGTCTAGCATGGTAAAGAGGTTTATCTGCTACTGGTGGCAATTGACCTGGATCACCAGTTAAAATCAATGATTTTCCTCCAAATACTTTGTCATTAGAACCAGTTGCTTGTTTGCAACGCTTGTCTATCCAACCAAAAGTAACTTGGCCAAGCATAGAGTATTCATCAATAATGATGTATCCAATGTTATTAACACTCTCTTGTAACCTACACAAGCTTTGTCCTGTTAGGTCTTTGTTACCTCTTGCTCCTATAGGTAACTTTAATAGAGAATGCACAGTTACACCTCTAATGTTATAAGCTGCTTTACCTGTGGTAGCAGCAACAGCACATTTACTTTGCAAAAGATTTCTAATAGCATTAATAAGGTAACTTTTACCAGTTCCTGCAACACCATTTATAATGAGACATAATGGCTCTTTTTCGGATGATACATCATCAAAATGAGACTTAACAATATCATAAGCAAGTTTTTGCATTTCACTAAAACTGTTGATGTCAACAACATCATATTGCTCATCAATAGTGTATTCGTCTTTGTTTGTTTTTATCCATGTTGGCATTTCTTGGATTTGTTGTTCTGAATAATTGGCTCTGTCACGATGCCAGTCATATGTGGACTCTGGTGTTTGTTGAGAGTTTTCAAAAGGAGTATTAAGGTCTGATAATATCATCCACTCTTCTCGAGTTGTCTCCTGTTCTTCAGAAGGTTCATCTTCTGATTCTTGACTTTGAATGACAGTTTGTAATTTGTCAAACCAGTCTGGGACATTAGACTGCCCATAAGCCGTTTGTAAAAATTCATGCCAACAATTGATCAGAACCTCGTCAGTTGGTTCTTGGTCACCCCATGCATTGTTTTGGGTTGTTCTCCACGGTTTATACCTCAAAAGTTGATATTTACAATATAGGCCAAAATTTGGACCTTTGGGATTAGGAGAATATGTTGGAAATATTCGTGGTATAACATTCTCTGGCAATTTTGTCAGTTCATTGTTAACAACTTTGTATGTTGTAGCAAATTGAACAAAGTTCATATTTATTATATTTTGTGAACTGTCATACTGTTCACGATTAGCATACACATCAAGAAGTGAATAATCGGTGCATGATTCACCCTCGTCAATACTTGCAGTATCACGCACTCTCCGTGAACCATTTAGACTAACTGGCATCACTTTAAAGGATGAGCTATGGAGTTTTAAAGATAACAAATGATGCATTGTCTCTTGAGCTGCATAATCTCTTTCACCAAGAGATTTCATAACTACCTTCTTAATAACTCTA